CACTGTGCTCTTGCCCAGCTTAGGCTTGCGGAGGAGGGTAGGGGCAACCAACGCCTGTTTCTGTAGACTGCCATTTGGCAAGGACAAAGTCTGAATTACTGCAATGTGCTCTATGGAGAGCTGCTTGTGAAGTGTGCTTGGAAAAACTGGCACAGAATGACTTGGCTAGGCTATTTGCAGGGGTCATATTCAGGGACTTCCTTTCTAAAATACAAACATTGGTTTCCAATTTGTTTCCAAGTCCATTTCTAAATGCTGGCCATGGCCTTTAAAGCACATTGTTTCAGGACTAGGATATTTATAGGACTACCTTCTTCATATGAATCTACCTGCCTACTGCCCCCCCCCATATGCCTATTTGGGACCAGGAGTGGGCTGTGCTGACTCTGGAACTCCCTCCTGAGAGGAGTCTCATCACAACCCTCTCTTACATAGATGACTGCTCATGTTCCAAATGATCCTGCAATGTTGGAGAACCCCATACGAAATGATATGAGTATTTTCAGGTTCATAAACTTGTTTCCATCTTTATCCAGTATTTAATAGTTCTAGGTCATTACCCAGAAAAGTATCCTGTTTCTTTAAAAACTCTTATCTGCTTTAACCTGGTTCCTATTGTGCATTCATATCTACTAGCAGAACTTTCCCTGGTTAGCAACAAAGGAGCAATAGTTTCTGACTCCCAAAGACAGCAGGTGAAACAGAAAGTAATATATATATATTTCTCTGCTGTGGTTGGCTTTGTACTAATCACTTATCAGTCTCAGTGTTCCTGTTCTGTGAAATACGAATATTAATTGCCTTCCTTTGGCCATGTCCACTAGACAGTTTTAGAATTGTGTTTCAAATCCCCAACATGAATGTAGATTTGTACTTGGATATATCATGTCTGGCCTGTGTCTGGCTTATGGGACATAGTAAGCCATTCACTCTACCATCTAAGACTAGTACCTGGCTCTCGTTCATGGACCTAGACAAAAACACAGTGTAAATCCCACAAGCCAGAAGTCTGCCCACCCCTGATTTAAAGTTGGTTCCAGATTTTTTTGGGGGGGAGGAGGGGTCCAGCCCAGTCCACTGTCCAGAGGGAAGCTGTGGCAGTTGCTACTCCTCTTCCTTCCTCCTGCCACTTCTTTCTCATTTGGAGAGGGCAGATGAACAATCAGCAATAGCAAGAAGTAGGGGGAGGAGCTGGCTCCAGGCATCAACAGTTGGCTTCCTCTAAAGTGTGAGCCTTGTTAGAGTCCCAACAATGATGACTCCTGATGCCAGCCATGACCCAACAAAAGAGAGGTAGGGAAAGAGAAAACGGCAAAAGAAGCATCATTTCTGAAACTCTGGAGCTCTTTAAAGAGATAGAAAGGCTCTGCAGGTTATGACTACCTCTGTTGGCTACTGCATACAGGAAAATTGAGAATAGGGATTTGTGTGTGTGTGTGTGTGTGTGTGTGTGTGTGTGTGTGTGTGTGTGTGTAATGATGATGATAAAAATAAGGTAATGATATAGAACAAAATGCAAACAGCTGTTCTTTGCATACTGTACAGAATGCTTATATCCTCTTCTTCCATGTCCCAATAGGATGGTATAAATTCTATAATACAAACTTGCTATATCATCATTTTGAAAAATAGTGCAAGCACCTAAAAATAAAATACCTACAGAAAGTAATTTTTCTTTCTTGCTGAAACCATAAATGTGTTTTCTTTTGCACTATAGAAGCCCTACTTTTAGGTCACTCCTGTAGAGACACCAAAACCTAGTACTGAAGGAAACTGTCCCTACATGAGGAAAAGTACTGTGCTGTATGAGTTTTGGGGTGTCCTGTCCTTGTGTGAACTGTACCACCAGTCACATTTCCACCACAACAGATTTTCAGAAACAAGCAGGAGCTGTTCATAAGGGTGTGCGCTTGCACATGAGGGATGTGCTAAATCAATAAAAAGGGTTTTTTTTTTAAGTGAAGCTTTAGAAATCAATGGCCTCAAAGGACAATAATTTGTTTCTTTCCCAAATCAGGAGTGGGAAGAAGCTAGAAACACTGGTCGATGCTGCTGGAGTACAAAGCTCAGGGTTGGGGAACATGTGGGCTTCCAGTTATTCCTCGATTACAACTCCCATTATCCCTGACCACTGTCAATGATAAAAGGTAAAGGGACCCCTGACCATTAGGTCCAGTCGTGGCCGACTCGGGTTGCGGCGCTCATCTCGCTTTATTGGCCGAGGGAGCCGGTGTACATCTTCTGGGTCATGTGGCGAACCAGAGCAGCGCACGGAAACACCGTTTACCTTCCTGCCGGAGCGCTACCTATTTATCTACTTGCACTTTGATGTGCTTTCGAACTGCTAGGTTGGCAGGAGCAGGGACCAAGCAATGGGAGCTCACCCCGTTGTGGGGATTCGAACCGCCGACCTTCTGATCGGCAAGTCCTAGGCTCTGTGGTTTAACCCACAGCGCCACCCACGGGGGCTAATGGCCGCAGGCATTCAATAGCACCTGGATCTAGCATCTGCTGACTTCAGTTTACTGTAAAGCATGTTGGGCTAGATAGACATTGGTCCGTCCCAGCATGGCATTCTAAGTTCTAAAGCAAAGCTGCATACCCAGGCTCAGCTAACATAGATAATTTCAAGAAGGATAATCTTGTTCACCTGTGTCAGGAAAAGCAAAAAGCAAAAGTCTTGTGGGCACTTGAAACACTAACAAATTTATCATAGCATAAGTTCTTGTGGAGTCGCATATCTCATAAATGCTAATATAGTGTGAGCATGCACTCAAGTAGTTAACTATGTAGACCATACAAAGCCTGCCAGCCCATTCCTATGCTAAATCCCCAGCATTTCTCCCCTTCTGAGTACCTAGAGAAGATCCTCTTCCCAGAGTTCCACCAATAGGGCTGGGGATTCCACTTTTATTGGCTGCATTCACGGGGCTGGTTTTACTAGTAGGGAAGAGGTTCTGTGTTGGTGACGTCGGGGATTTGACAGGTTCCGCTGTCTTAGGTCTGGCTGAAAGATTCAGTGGCTGTGCGGCATCATCCTAAAAGAGTTTAATGTAAATAATTATTAGAAAAAGACAAATGAAACACATTATCACTTTGGAAGCCACAGCTATTTTACACCTCCTAGACAATGCTGGCATTTCCTTGCAATAATAACAAAAGAAGCTAATTATCTACACTCCTTGAAGATTCAATGAAAGGAAAACCTCATTAATTTCTCTGTGCTATGCCTCTATTTACATTAACTATGGAGCTGGATCATTCTTTTTGGCAAATTAAAATTTGAATTAGCTCGCATTACTGCCTAATTTCCTAATGTGTTTTCTGAGATCTAAATTAACCCAGGGCATTTACAAAGAATTATTTAAGAAAAATTCTAGCAGCTCAGTTGTGTTGCTTTACTGGGCCTATTTGAAAAGTTATTGGAACTATAAAACAGACTGTATATATGTGTGTGAATGGTAGGGTTATGGGTAAAATTAAACAGGAAAAGATACTTAATACCTTAAACATTTATATTTGTTTACCCCTAGATATCCTTGACTTTTTTTGTACAAGACTTTTTGGTCACAATATCTTTGCGAAACATTTCTGCATTCCCCCCTAAAAATCTGGAGAGGGGGAGAGAGAGGTTGTTACTGCCGCGATAGCACTGCTGAAGCATTTGCCCCACTGTAGGGCAAATGGATTTTAATGCCAGAATCTATGTGGTATCTTACAGCAATAGAGTGCAAGATCAAGTTATTAGCTATTATGTGGATCAGACTGGAAAGTTTTAAGGAATTCTGTTGCAATCTGCAGTATTGTCTATAGCTACACAACATGATGAATGAAAAAGAAAATATACTGTATTGTGATCTTAGAATTCAACAGGCTATGCAGAGCAAGGCTTATCAATATGTTTACAGTTCTCATTAAAACATCCCATTCTTTTCTTGTGCATCATACAGCTTGACATAGTTCAAGTGGAACTAGATACAGTTGTGCCTTATTTTTCGAACAGCTTAGTTCTTGAATGTTTTGGCTCCCAAACGCCACAAACCCAGAAGTGAGTGTTCCAGTTTGCGAACTATTTTTGGAAGCCGAACGTCTGATGGAGCTTCCGCGGCGCTTCCGATTGGCTGCAGGAGCTTCCTGCAGCCAATCAGAAGTTGTGCTTTGGTTTCTGAATGTTTTGGAAGTCAAACAGACTTCCGGAAAGGATTCCATTCAACTTCCAAGGTACGACTGTATATGATTATTGTTAAATATTGCAAAGGGCAGACTATGCTTTGGGGATGTGTTTTACAGCACTTTTAAAAAAGCACTAATGTGTCAGTCTCTAATTTATGGCATGCATGTAAATCTAGACAAGGGAAATATAAATTTGGTTCTGATTTAAGCAGATCCATAGTCATATAATTATAACTATCAGGTATTCACTCGCTTTGTGGTGTCTTTTGTACAAGTGAAATGAGGGGAGATGGGGCTGGAGGAACTCACATAGCAAAAAACTGTGCACATCTACTCTTATGAAACATCTAACTTCTGGAAAAGGAAAAATCTAAGAAACTTGTTCTTTTGATCTAGCACTCCCCTTTACAATACAACCTCACCCTGTTCATTGGAGAGCTTGTACCCTGTGTTGAACTTGTTAGCAATCAGCCAGGCACAGCATTTTTGGAATAGCAGAATACTGATTTTCTGTAATTAAAATGAAAAGAGCCTGGTAACATGGCTCTCTCATTTAAAATATGCCCAAAGCTGAGATATGCTAGATATAAGGGTGCATCATCTATATTTTAGCAGACAGCACTGAACACTTCAAAGCTTAGAAATATATGAAAGGATACAATAATGCAGTCCATTATCTTATCATTGCCATTCTTCTTGCTGTCAAGTAGAGATTCTGCATGGTACAACTTGTCATATATAATGTATTAAATCGCCCAATGCAACAAATAAGTAACTATTTATAATACTGCACTTACTTCTACAGTTTATGTTATTTCTAGGCCATTGCTATATAGGCACCCCTCTTTATTTGTAGAAGTCACATAAAATATAGCTTTTTCCTCAGTCAGTCATAAGTGATTAAGTGAGGGAGACAGTAATATGAGAAAGCTTTGAGGACAATGACATTAAGAACCTGGTTGCCCCAGCCACTCAGTCCTCAAAGTCCACGCATACAAAGATCTCAAGCCCATCATGGATCTCATCCTTGTCCACATGGCTAAAGGAGGTGATGGTGGAATTTGAATCTCAGCTTCCCATGCTGAATGTGGAATTGATAATGTGATGTGAAGCAGGTATCCACCATTTCCCAGGACCCTGGCTACTGTCCTGCTGATGCACTATCACATCCACCCAGGACTGGGGGCTCCCTGCAACTGTGTTCAAGAACAGTGTGAAAGTGTTCTCATCTCCCCTTGAAGAACTAGCCTGGAAGATGTGGTATCTGCTATCTGGTCCTGTGGAATTTGCATGTGTTTCTGTTAAAAATTTACAGTGATAGGAACACAGGATGCTGCCTTATACTGAGTCAGGCCATTGGTCCATCTAGTTCAGTATTGGCTATAGCTGTTCAGGGTTTCAGGTGGGGTCATTCCCAGCCTCACCAGGGATAGAGCCTGGGACCTTCTGCAGTCCAACATACCAGTACTTTGCTTTTTCAAACAAAGGATAAGATCCATTCTATCATTCTATCAACAGAAGCTAGCTAACTGGACTGGCAGCTGAATCCGCTAGGGGTGGAATAATGTCCTCCACTGCACCTGAAGGAAGTTTTGGGGTGCAAGGCTGGTTATGTGGCACACTCAGCTCTGGCCTACAACACCTTGACACTGTTTGCTCACTGTCTGCCTGCTGCTTGCTTGTTGCCTATTCAAACAACTATAGCAATGCAATTATAGTGGCAACAGCATGTGTCAAATCAGCAAAGCAAAGGATGAGTGCCACCTCTGACACATTGGAAAAAGAAAATGAGGTGAGGCAAGTCAGACAGACTGCAGTGGTCAAGAGCAAGCAAGCATTGCTGCTTCAAGAGAGCCAGCTCAGGAGGGTAGGAACAGCCAGGAGGTTGCCATCACCATATCTAGCACCTACTGCCTCACTCTGCTCAATGGTAGGGGTGGCTCTATTCATATAATCCCAACATGTTCGAAACAGCAGTTTCATAATCAAATAACAGAAATGAAGGAATGAACGGAACCTGCAGATGATTCAGACAACTCATCTGCTGTGAACCAGCATCCTCAGTGCCACTCACGCACAGAGGATCCATGCAGCACAAAGCGGCTGCCTTGTTTTCTTTTATGCTGGGAAACATGCAACACAAACAATGGGGAATTCCATTTCTGAATTAAGGCTGGTTATTAGTGTCTGAGGTTAAAGGGGGCATACTGCACTTTCAGCCAATGATATTTTATACTTTTAATTGTATAAGCATATTATTATCTCTGTTTCACTTTGTTAAAAATCTTTTTGCTATATTTCTTAAGGAAGGATGGCTGATGTGGGAAATAGGCCTAAAGCAAACAAACAAATAATTTCCAGCTGCCTACAGAAAGCTGGAAAGGAGGCAGTTTAGTCATTGCATGCTGCTGCCAAGTATCACACTGCAGCTTCCTAGTTCTCTAAGCAAGTGACAATTAAGTATGCATGAGCTTTTGACAATACATCAAAACCAAATAGAAGCACGCCAAATACCAGCAACAGTGTGCTATCAACAAGGGTCCAATCAATCTGCAGTCATGGCTTTTTTTCTCTCCCAATCAATTGGCAGTGATGGTCTTTTCCCCCCTCCAGCCATCCTCCTGTAATTTTTATTTTTATCTGGGGCTTCTTTAAATGAAATGATCCAATTTGTAAAATAAGAAGAGGAGTGGTTTTGCTTGCCATTTTACATAGTTAAGGCTAGTTCTTGTTAAACCATTTGGCATGACGGCCAGTCTTTTCATGCAATACTAGTAAGATTTACGCAATCACTATCGTATTACACATCACATGTTCCAGATGCCCTGCCCAAGTTATGTCAAACATAGGACTTAACAGAGCAGATACACCCCTGGCTCATACACCTCCTCAATCACAGGGATTTTTCATGTTGCTCATGCTTAGGAATGAGAAAGGTGAACCCACATTGGATTTTCACTCTCTCATCTCATGCATGCTTACTTGAGAACACCAATATAAATATAAAATAAGAAACTCTGGAACTGGCGAGTGATAAATTGTAATAGTTGAAAGCAGTGTAAAATATATTTAAAAACTAGGTTATAACTTATCCTGAAACAACAGTATCTCCAGTCATATGAAGGGCTGGTGAATATTGACACTCAAAAGAACAGTGAACTGGAAAAGAGTCACAACCAAAGGCCCTTGGCAAGACTGGGGTCTCCAGACTCGCCATATACCTTGTAAACAAGTAAATAGCAGCATGATTGTTATATGTGGCGGGCATAGTTCACAGGGTCATAAGGTCTGACCCCGGAGAGCTGAAATACCACCGGATTTGCTTGTTTGAAATTATTATATTGCATTGTATCAGTGGGAGTGTTCATGAAAGGAAACTTAAAGAAATACCTTAACTTGAGTTATAGGGCTGGTCCCTCTCTTTTCATTTTTCATCCCAGTAGGTGAAAGTGCCCCTGTTGTGTTTGGCGGCTGAGGGGTGGAGGGCATCTTTGCTCCAGGCGAAACCTGCATGCTGGCCAACTGAGCGGCATAGAGTTGCTGCAAAACAAGAATAACTCTTCTCCTTAGGATTATCTGCTTCAGCACTTTATAAATGATAGCTGAAATATTCTGAGGCCCTGGGGGTGTGGTAACAGAGAATCTCCCATCTTCCTGGCAGGCACTGGGCAGTGTCACTCAAGAGGCAAGACTTCTAGGTTAAGGCCTAAATGGCAGCTTAATGGAGAAAGTGGTTAGCTGTCTTGAATATAAAGCACATCTCAAAACCCCAAGTAACTATCATGCAATATTATAGTAATCTGCACATATTTCTTTTGTTTAACACCCTGCTGTTTTTCACTGATATGAGGCAGTCAACAGATTTTATATTTACCTGTAAGTACAATTTACATTTCAAATATATTTTAGTGCTAATTTGAATAGAAGCGTAAATTCCTACTTATAAAGGTGGGAATATGAGTATAACTCTTCCTAAAACATTACAGGTATATGGTATTTTCTGAACAAAGCTTAGGTAAGTTCAAGTTCTCTCTAGCAACCAACCTTAAAACCTCACCTTGAATTAGCAGTAGCAATAGTTCTACCACTATAAACAGGGAAGATCCTATTCCCTCTTTAACAAGTAAATCTGTATAAAATTTGCCTTATTAGTGGAAAAAAACCAGGTGGTTTGTATGTAATTTCCAACATGACTATCATTCAGATGGACAAATAAAAAAAATTACAGTAATCAAAAGCAGACCTTTCAGCACATGTAATTAAATGAAAGCTTAATAAAGAATAATTTGCAAGAGCCAGATGTGCTTATGTCATAATTGTTGCTTTCTTTGGAGCACTTTTTCTAATATAACAAGCCTCCAAAGAAATGAAAGTTACACAATACTGCACATGCTCTATGACTCAGTGGCTAGACAAATGCATGCAGAGTCAGTACTTTAGTTTTTTAACAGAGAAAAAACAATAGTTTTCTGTTTGTTTCTCTAAGTCTATAGTACTCGACCCACTGGACTGGGGGAAAGCCCATTCACATCCATAGGTAAGACTTCCATATATCACCTGAAGGGCAAGACCAACCTATTCCACTCCACTGCTAGGTCACGCAATCCCTAAACAAACAGGACACATGCTTTAAGATTTTGCTGAAATTAAATATTTAGGATGAATGCTGTGGTTTTTGCTCCTCTGTTTGAACTCTTGATTTCACAACTCTTCTTTATGTACTGAGTAATTACTTGTTCTGCTGCTGGAGCCTGGTATCTTATCAACACCCCCTTGGCTATGGTACATAAACTAACATGCTCATTCTTAGGATCATTCCTTTTAGTGGGCTATTTAATTGTGCACTAGCAGTTGGGAACTGTTGCAAAAGTTTTTGTATATGATATATGCATTTCCTGTGCAAATTTGATTCGATTATTAAAGCAGAGTGATGACAACAGAACAAAACAACTGGGGAAGAAAAGGAATCTAGGGTTTTGTTTGTTAGTTAGCAAGGTCTGTCTGAACATTTATACCCCAACTTTCTTCACATAGTTCACATTGCTGTATTTGTCCACCAATTTGTCCCATTTCAACTTGGGACTTCATACCATGTCCCAGGAAACAGACCAGAATCCCCCCCCTCAATGGTGGGTCCAGTTTCTTCAACTTGTACTCTGCAACAGATAGCCCATTTGGAAGTCCTGGAATTTTCAAGTCCAGAGACACAGTTAGGATAGACAGAGAAGAGAATGTACACTACCGAGTTTTCAATTATCCCTATTCCAGCTCCAGGCAAATTCATTCAAGGATGTCAGCAAGGCAACTGGGACATTCTTAGTCCAAAGGCATTACTTTTCAGAGGTAATACATCCACAAAGTAAGAAAGTACATCAATCATCCTGAGCATAGACACTCCAATGGGTACAAGTCTAGAATAGTACTGTGTGGAGTCCCCACTTAGAAGCAGCTTACATTCCATGTGACCCAGTTTTCCTATAACCAACATCAGGCAAACACTGAAGTGCTAAAGCATCCCATAATTTCTCTGACATTTCATAACCTTACCAAAAGGGATATCCTGCTATTGTATAAAGATGACTCAATGTATATATGCTGCTGCAGTTATTAAAGAATGTGATCATGTTGGCCACTGCCACTAAACCTAGCCCGGAACTGTGATATAGTGGTACATATTGAAGTTCAGGAGTTTACCATGACAACCTTCATAACCACACTTTAAAGGAGAATTCAAAATTTTTGATTTATTATAATTTTTCCCGCATACGGACACTCCCTCTCAAACAGGAGCATACACAATATATGTACTGTGAACAGCCCTGTGATCTTCAGCTGAAGGGTGGTATACACATTTAATAATACATAATAAAAATTTATTAGGATCAGCTGACAGTCATAGAATAGGAGACTAGCAAACAGTGGTGCACAAATGAGCACACTGGACGTTAGCTGAAGTCTTGGTTCGCATCCCTAATCAGCCACAAAGGTCTCTGGTGAGTTCACTTGGCCAAAGACTAGCATATCTCACAGGGTTATTATTATGCAAATAAAGTGGGGTACTCGCATCCCACCCTGAACTCAACTTGCTCCACCAGGTGATATCATTGCTCCTGCCAGAAAAATGTCCTACAACAGTACTTCCCTGTGCTTTACCTCCACTATACCACTGCTGAAGTACTGGTCCCAGATTATTAAATCCAGTTCTGAGAATATTACTTTAACTGCTCATTTAAAAACCCATAAGAAATTTAGAAAACCATTGAAGCCATGGGCAACATCAGTGCGGCATATGCTCCAGCCGTGCGGGGCATGGAGAGAGCCCACTGCTCCTGGCTGGGTGCGAAAATACTGCCTTGGCAGCATCCTGACACGGTGTCACCCAGCTGAGGAGAGGGGTGGCAGTGCTGCTGCTGACTCTCCTTTCTCTGCCCCGCCCCCGGGGCTGGCTTGACTTGGGAGTGGAGCTGCCGGCTGTGGCCTGGCTGCTCATCAGGGAGCAAGGGCTGGGAAACTGGAGGGGGAAGAACACCCTCTGCACTTTGCCGGCCCCCGCCCAGTACAAGAGTGCCTGCTCATCGGGGGTGAGGCGCAGATGCTCTTCACGCTCTGTTCACCCCGCCCTTGCGCCAGCAGGCGGGCGCTGGCGTGCTGTGCAGGGACAGGGCACACGCAGTCACGCAATGGGGATCTCTACGGGGGTTACTTGGTTCATGTGCCCCTCCCCATTGTGTGCCTGGGGCAGCAGGGCCCCTGCCACCCCCCACGCTATTGCCAATGATGAGCAGGAAACAAATTTGAATGGGAAACAATAATTTTAAAAAACTTGTTTGCCCCAAACTTTGGAAAGTGGATACTTTAACAGGAATATTTGAAATGCTAGCTTTGTAGCTCTTGACTAGTGACTAAATAAATAAATAAATATTAACAGAGTCCAAAATCATGAATTTTAAGATGCGTTATTCAGTCACCACAGAAATCCATGCATCACAACAGCTCTTTTCAGTCTAGTTATAAATTTAAAATACAGTGGTACCTCGGGTTACATACGCTTCAGGTTACACTCGCTTCAGGTTACAGACTCCGCTAACCCAGAAATATTACCTCAGGTTAAGAACTTAGCTTCAGGATGAGAACAGAAATCATGTCCGGCTGGGCGGTGGCAGCAGCAGGCCCCATTAGCTAAAGTGGTACTTCAGGTTAAGAACAGTTTCAGGTTAAGTACAGACCTCCGGAATGAATTAAGTACTTAACCTGAGGTACCACTGCAGCTCTAAATGTTACTGCCACATTTTTACGTTGGCTCACAAAAGGATAGTGACACGGTTGAAGCAATAACGTTTTAAGATTAGTTCAAAATGAAAACATCACTCTGCTTCCTTTGTTGCTCCAGAAACTGAAGCCAAATCAGCTGCATGGAGAATGAAGTGGAAGACAGCATCCTAGACCAAACTTGGATCTATTACATTGAGCCAGCAGACATAGGGTACAAGCGGTATGCAGAAAAAAAATAAGGTTAAAGCTAAAAAAGTGAGAGAGAAAGGAAAGGATGGGACTGAGTTCCATCACTATAGCTGAGGATGGGAAATTTGAATTTAATGTTGATGCTAGTAATGAAGGAAAGCCAGGTCAAAGTTCCAGTGGTCAGGTACAAGGGGGAAGATGGGGTGGGGTGGGGGCGCAAGGGGAGAATCTGAGATACAGAACTGAGAGGAAGAAGTGGCAGAAAAATAAAATGAGAAACTGGGAGGTTCTGATCAATATGGTTGACATCAATTCATCAATATGCAACCAGATTGTAGCTCAAAAAAACAGCAAAAGAGATTCACCATTGCAGCCACCACAGCAGCAACAGTGGGCAATGCATTCCTTGGAGGCCAGATTTGCTGCCCCTGTGGATTCTGCCATCCAAGGTGGTCACCTCACCTTGCCTCATGGGTGGACCCCTCCCTGCTTGAATGCAACATAGGCTATTCTCATTTTGGCTAACAACCCAATTATGGCAAAGACATTCCTTTTATGATCTTCACTAATAATCATTGCCTAGAGGTTGATGGTGGACATATTGATCACTTGCCTGTTGGAACCTTATACCAATTATCTAACCTTTGCAGTGGCTCCATTTAATCTTCAGGAATAATGTACTTGTTTTGACATATGAATTGCTGTGCATGAGACTTGTACTTGTTTCTCCCTCATGTCCTCTGCTGCTATGTCTGAGAAAAGACATATCAGAGTAGCCTTTGCAAAGCCTTTGCATTGGCTTTCATTTTCTACAGTTAAGTCAGTATTTGGGTAGGAGGCAAGGTTCTTTCTATGCTTCATATGTTCTTCAACCAGAATTTCGCTGGACATACTACTACCGTTGATGATACTGGAAATATCAAAAGAGTATTGTAAGGCCAGGATTAATACAATTATTGAACTACTTTCATAAAATGGATGATTTGGGTTTGCTTTTTCTGAACTGCAGCAATCCATGCTAAACTGCTTTTAAAACCAATGGGTGGATCAAAAGCAGTCTGTGATATAGAATCAGGTAG